TCCAAATCCTACCAGGAAGAATTGTGTATAGCTCTCATATTGATAAAGATTATGATACATGTGTTTATATAGAGAGGAGAATCTTAAACCTAATTAACATAGTTTCCTAATATACACAAATACATAAATGATATAATTTGATCATATAGATCTTTTAGATAGTTCAACAAAAAAAAAAAAGTTGAACAAAAAAAAGATCTTTTAGATTTTTCTATATGTGGTATATTTTATTATAAGTAATTGTACAACAACAAACAAAATGTTTGTATAATTTATATGTCCAAAAACATTTGATACGTACGACTCATTCAATTTTTGACGAGTCGGATACAATTATGTATGAAAAGGGAGAAAGAATAAAATAAATAAATGTGGTTGATGGTCATGGTCAATTACGATCATCAAGGGCAAGGAACATAGCTTTGGGAAGAATAAACCTCTGAATGAGCAATAGGGCTTAGTTTGTAGTGACATGTAGAAGGTTGTGAAGGAGAAACTGGTCCTCTTTGAAGCTTGTTCTGCAAACCAAACCTTATTCCTGTTATGTCTTCTTTATTCATCCTTATCAGCCTCGCGAGGTTCCTCTTGATCCGATTCCGACAAAAGCTATCAAATACATCACCATAATGAATTTATTATAAAATCTATTGAGATGTTCCTCCAAACGGTAACTTATACTTTTTATTCTGTCATAGAAGCTAATTATATTATAAAATCTATTGAGATATTCTTAGCAAAAAAAAATAAAATCTATTGAGATATTATTTCAATATGAGTTTCAGTTTCTTACAAAATATTGAAAATAATATAATGAAACTAGTAAAATACAATATTTCAATTAAAAACAAAAAAAATTAAGGGAAATTAGGTTCCATAGCAAAGATTCAGACAATATTTAGGTACATGACAAAACACTGTATTCATAACTGTTCTAATTTTGTTAATCCTATATTACCCCTCATCTCTCTTTCTCTCGTCTCTTCCTCTTTCTGCGAGTAAATCTTCTCAGACATTTTTCTCTTCTCTTTTTTTTTTTGTTCAGTTAATTCAATCGAGTGTAAAGGAGAGATTCTCTTCTGTTTGTTCTTTTTTTATGGTCATCTCACTCCAAATTTCAATCCCACCAACAAAATTTAAGGATTTTCGCTGGGTTTAACTATTTTTTTTTGTTTAATTTGGATTATGAAATGATAATTGCCCAAATCTTTTGCTCAACCAACTAGTCGGTGCGCAATCGACGGTAGAATCCGTAGTACGAGTCGGGATTGGGTTGATCGAAGGGGGATTGGGTGAAGATGACAATAGAAAGAAGGATGAAAAACCGGTGAGGATGAGCCGGAGAAATCGTAGTTCTAACGAAAGTGGTGAATTAGTTGGTTCCAGATTTGCTGAAGATTCTTGGAGTGTGGTTGAGGAACTAGCTTGTTGATTATGGGATTGGAGATGTTGCTGAGCTCAAGAAACTCTACAAAGGTAAGGTATTGTTTGAAACTTCAATCAGAAATTCGAATCTCTATTTTGAACCAAAATCAGTATTTCAATTTCACTTATACAACCAAGTTCGGTGTTGTTGGATTCGCCGCGGTGGACAGTAATCGTTTCAAGGTCTGGGTTGCACGGTCACAACGGATCAGGAGTAAATGTACCCGATAAATAGTTTTTTTAGCCATATTTTAATCTGCTGCAAGTAAATGTACCCGATAAATAGTTTGATATTCAAGCAAATTTATTTTTAACTATGTAAACTTTTGTGTAGCGCGTTAACTAAAACAATTACACTCACGAAATGTAAACCAAGGAAATGTTTCACTCACACACGTAGATACATTACTTTAAGAATTAACAGCTAACACTATTATTATCCTGTAAATAACAAAGTTAGATGTACATTTTCATGTTTATATGATACAATAAATAATTTAACGTGTTATCGAAACGAATAGCTTATATAAATAAAAAGTTAGCCGGCAACAATCGAGCTAACGCGTTAGAAAATATGTTAGAGGTAAATTTATATTTTTCACATGTTACATTAACACATACCTTATTACTGATTTTGGCCGGATTTGCGTCTGTTCTTCGCCGGAAAAATGAAAAATTGTAGTTTCAAAGTTTCGTCCGATAAAAACTTACCTTGGAGTTGTCTCTGGAAGGTCATTCGATAAAAACTCGGACTCCACCGCTCCTCCGTCGCGATTGTTCATCGTCGGATGTTTCTTTTTATCTGATTGAAGTCGCGAGACTAAGAATACCTCCACCACCGATTTAGTCCAAACTTCTGATATATATCTCCACTAATCCAGTGATTTCGGTAAATTTCGTTGCCAATTTTTGTTCCTTTCATTGCCGGAAAAGAAAAGAATGAAACAGAGGAAAGAGAAAACATATTTGGTAAGGAGGAAGAAGGGGATTGTAACTTTATAAACCCCAAAACTTATTAAAATTTCAAACCACCCCAAATAATTTTAACCACCCATCCTTTCTTATTCTCTGCACTTTACCTTTTCTTTCATATTTATTAT